TAACTGCTAATGAAGTTTCATTTTCTCTTCTTGGCCCTGACCCACTCACTCCGCTGGAATATGGCACCTGTCAGGTTGTCTCCCTCCACCACCGGCCTCCCTCTTCTTATTTTTATTTATTTATTTATCATTCGATTTATTACCCCGCTCAAACCCCCGCTAAGGGGTCTCTGAGCGGCTTACACTTTTGATTCTCATACCTAATCTATGGCCACAGAACACAGGGTGGGGGGCAGTCCCTATCAGCCCCCAGTGGAGGTACCAGACGGTCTTTGGGTCGGTGTTCCTCGGCTCGATGTCTCTCGGCTTCTCTTCTGGCTCCATTTCGATGGTCACTCCTGCGGTGAGTCAGCCGGGCCCCTCCAACGTGTGGCGTGCTCCTGCGCAGCTGCAGCTCTGTCCTTCCGGCTCTGCCGCGCCTGCGCCGTCCGCTTTCCCCACATTGTTCGACTCCGCCTCTCCGCCGCCGTCTGCTTCCGTCGTTCGAGCTGTACCGGGACGCCATCTTCCAGCTGCTTACTCGCCGCCTCTCCTCTCCGCCAGTCTTTGACACTCCAGCAACCCCCTTGATGGGGGAGGGTGCCCCCTACCCTCTAAGGTAGGTACCCATTCATCTACTTGCGCAAAGGTGTTAATCGGCGCTTTCAAACCGCTGGGTTGGCGGGAGCTGGGACAAGGGCCAGTTGCTCACACTGGCTGCGGTGGGATTCGAACAGCTGTAGCAGCTGTCCATAGATAGATGTTACTGGCAGACGTTTAACTGCCTGCGCCACCGCTCCCGCTTCTCCTTTCCCTTCCTGCCCCTCCCTCTTCTCTTTTCTCCTGATGCTGTAACAGACCACAAATACCCAGCACCTGAGGTGGTCTTTCCTGAGAGACACCACAAAACAACCTCTGAACCTCCACATGCAGTGCCGTCATACAGCTAGGCTTGGCTTAAACAGTGGCTTTTGCTGGGAGACTAAGAGAAGCTCATTTTGGCTGGAAATACAGGCCAAGTGAAGATCACCAGGCAGGCTGCACTGTCAAGCATCCTCCATGCAAGCAAACCCCCCCCCCCCACTCTTCTCTGCTCAGTCCGTAAGACAAAGAATGGACAAAACCTATGCTCTTGCCTCAAGCATCTCCTGACTAAATGGCCAGTCCTTTTGTCTGTCAAATGTACAGGCAGACAGGAACAATGTGCCACTGGTCTGTATCTCTTTCATGAATGGAACGTGTTGTGTGTTTCCTGCCTCCAAATCCTATTATACCTGAATGTCAGGAAACTGTTGTTGTTCAGTCGCACAGTCGAGTCCGACTCTTCGCGACCCCATGGACCAGTTCACGCCAGGCCTTCCGGTCTTCCGCCATCCTCTGAAGTTGGCTCAATTTCATGTTCGTTGCATCTATGACACCGTCTAACCATCTCATCCTTTGCCGTCCCCGTCTTCTTTGACCTTCAATCTTTCCCAGCATCAGGGTCTTCTCCAGTGAGTGCTCCCTTCTCATTTGGGGGCCAAAGTATTTGAGCTTCAGTTTCATTATCTGGCCTTCCAGGGAACAGTCAGGGTTGATTTCTTTTAGGATTGACTGATTTGATCTTCTTACAGAGTCCAAGGGACTCTCAAGAGTCTTCTCCAGCACCATAGTTCAAAAGAATCTATTCTTCGGCGCTCGGCCTTCCTTATAGTCCAACTCTCGCAGCCATACATGACTACTGGGAATACCATTGCTTTGACCATGCAATACCTTCTAGATAATCTTCGCATTCCTGTCGCTAAATGTTTGTCTAAAAGATCTGCATTCTCCTACCAATGCCAGACCCATCAAGGCCAACACTAACTCTTCATGTCCAGTGACACCCATTAATGACACCCGTTAAGAAACCTCACCTCCATTGTCTGGCATCAGGGAAAACACCAGATCACGCTATTGTTCCACAATGAGAAGCCCATCAAGCCATTGTGAAACTAGTCAGCAGCACACTTTAGCATACCTTCAGGATACGTTTTGGGGTATAAATATACCCAGTCTTGCACATGCCCGGTGTGGTTGGCTGGGCGCACACAAAGTTAACACCGGCCTCGGCCACACGGGCAGGAAAATGCGGGGGGAGGCATGGCTGTTTGCCCTGGAGCAAACTAACGCACGACTACACGTTCAGGCGTCGGGTTGAGGTCCCATCGACTTCCTGTGGTTAGGGGGGAGGTGCCGATCACAGACGCGGCAAAGAAGCGGAGCGGCGCAGCAAACGGGGTTGTGTTTTGTTTTTAAAACTGAAATGTGCGCATGCTCCGTTGGGTGCTTGTGCGCTTCCGTGGAGACTTGGGAAAAAAACACCTTTTTGCAAGGGGACATGGCCGGGCGCCGGAACTACCACCGGAAACGCGATCAGACGCCCGCCCTTGCCCTGCAGCTTCCGGAAACTAGTACCTCCGAGGTACTAGTTTTTTACCCCACATCTTTGGCGGGAAGCCTCGGGTGCGCCACGGGAGCGCTACGCTTCCCAGATGTGGCGCTGTGATTGCGCCCAGAAAATCCGCCTATCTTCCGTCTCTCTAGCATGCCTAATGCTCCGTGTGACTGGGGCCACCCTTGAGTATACTCAGGTCCTCCGTGGTCTTGCTGGTGAGGTCCACGCACCTCCTCCCTCCAACCTCTGGACCTCATCACCTCTACAGGATAGGTATAGTATTACCCCAATCGCCTCACCCCTCTATCTGTCTGCTAACTCCTTTTTGTTTCTCCTTGTATGCTTGCAACCCTTGACTTAAGTGTAAAAATCTAAATTATAATTTTCCCTTAATATAACCCATTTCTCTTCATCATTTCGATTCATTACTGACTCAACTAAGGGTCTAAGGGACTAGCTCTGTAAACACTGCTGGCAGATCCGCACTATTACCCCACCTCTCGCTGAGGCTCACTATTTGACTAATTTCCCCCAGAAACTGAATTCAGCAATTCAGCTTTTAAATCAAAGCTGGTAGGGGTAACAGTGCCCAGCTCCTTGCCCACCTGTTTCCACTCCTGGGTCGGCCAACGGAGTCTGGAGGCCAGGAGTGAGTATGACCAGAGATGCTGCCACCACCTCGCATTACTCTCTAAATTTGATGGTTATACACTTTCTCCTCAGCACCCCCCCCAAAAGTATGGCTTTGCTATGCCCACAGCAACCAAAAAAAGTTAACATTTATAGAATCATAGAATGTTAGAGTTGGAAGGGACCATGCAGGTCATCTAGTCTAACCCCCTGCACACAACCAAACCAAGACCTCCCATCTACCAGCAAAGGCCTGAGGTTTTTCTATGGAACAATCCATTCCACATTTCTTTCAAGAAGGGTCTCACCTGAAAGGCACACTATTTATTCTTCATGTAAGTTATATTAGGCTCAGAAAGTGACTGGCCAAATGCAGACTGACATCCAGGTTCACTCATCTGTAACCCAACACTCGGCCTCTAGAACTTAACACATGGGGATCAGGCAAGGCAGAAGGTGCCTGGCTGAAGCAAGAGGATTTCTTTCCTCAGTTTTACAGTCAGTTTTTGAAAACACATAACATACTTGCAATGGGCTATTGTTTTAAACAATTCCTAACCACCAGTCTGTAGAACACACACATGCACACAAAATGCAGAAAAGGGTAGTTGATTTCTCCCTGCTGTCTGTGAGGACCAAAGGGGAATCATATTGTAAAAGAAATGTTCACTTCCAAAGTCCAAAGATATCCACCCAGGATTAGAATACTGTATGCTCTTTGGGGCATGTTTGAACTCACTGAGTTTTCCTTTGAATCTGAATTAATCTTACTGATGAGACCCTGAAAAGCTCACAAAAGCCTAAGCCCTTGACACCTGAGTAATCCATATTCCAGTGGAGGAAACAGGTCAGCAATCCAAGAGTTCCCAGGTTGCAAACATGGTAAAAGGGAGGAGTTGCAAATACAGCAGAAGACAGAGGCAGGATATGGGATGATCTTGACAGGTTGGAAAACTGAGCTAAAAGAAAATTAATTTCAACTGAGATAAATGTAAAGTTCTGTATTTCTGTAGGAAAAATCAAATGCATAATTATAGGATGGGGGAGACTTGTCTTGGCAGTAGTATGTGTGAAAAGGATCTAGGGGTCTTACTAGATCATACACTGAATATGAGTTAGCAGTGTGATGCGGTAGCTAAAAAGGCAAATGCGATTTTGAGCTGTATCAACAGAAGTATAATGTCCAGATCACGCGAAGTGATATTATCGCTTTACTCTGCTCTGGTTAGACCTCACCTAGAATACTGTGTTCAATTTTGGGCACCACAATTTAAGGAGGATATAGACAAGCTGAAACATGCCCAGAGCAGGGCAATGAAGGGGTCTGGTGATGGTGAGGGGTCTGGATACCAAGTCCTATGAGGAAAGGTTGAAGGAGCTGGGTATGGTTAGCCTGGAGAGAAGATGACTGCTAGCTGATATGATAACCATCTTCAAGTACTTGAAGGGCTGTCATATAGAGGATGGTGTGGAGTTGTTTTCTGTTGCTCCAGAAGATAGGACCAGAACCAACAGGTTGAAATGAAATCAGAAGAGTTTTCGGCTAAACATTAGGAAGAACTTCCTGACAGTTGGAGCGGTTCCTCAGTGGAACAGGCTTCCTTGGGAGGTGGTGGGCTCTCCTTCTTTGGAGGTTTTAAAGCAAAGGCTAGACGGCCATCTGTAAACTTAGGCAGATCATGAGAAGGGCAGGAAGTGTTGCAGCACTGCTTAGTTCTTGTGGCCCTTTCTTACACACCCAGAGAAATGCTGATTGCCATTAATGTATGGAATGTGAGAAAAGCTTACCAGTCATGTGGTTTCTCCCAACGGGTTCTTTGTTGCTGGTGATGACGGCTACACTGGAGGATTCACTTTCCATGCTCTGAACATTCATAAATTTATCCCCAGTCTCCCCTGTGTGGGTTCTTTGATGCCACTGACAGTCGTCACTGAACTTGAATTCCTTTCAATACTCTAAGCATTCAAAAGGTTTCTACCTTGTGTGGTTTCTTAGATGCTTTTGAAGATGGCAGCTCTGATTGAATGTCTTTCCACACTCTGAGCATTCAAAAGGTTTCTCATCTGTGTGAGTTCTTTGATGCCGTTCAAGATTACCACTCCATTTGAAGCTCTTTCCACACTCTGAGCATGCAAAAGGTTTCTCCTCCATGTGGGTTCTTTGATGCTGTAGAAGATTGCAACTCCTTTTGAATTTCTTTCCACACTCTGAGCATTCAAAAGGTTTCTCATCTGTGTGAGTTCTTTGATGTCGCTGAAGACTGCTACTCCAGTTGAAGCTCTTTCCACACTCTGAGCATTCAAAAGGTTTCTCCTCTGTGTGGGTACTTTGGTGCTGTAGAAGACTGCAATTCCTATTGAATTTCTTTCCACACTCGGAGCATTCAAAAGGTTTCTCCCCTGTGTGAGTTCTTAGATGCTGTTGAAGGCTGCCAGTCTGACTGAATTTCTTTCCACAATTCAAGCATTCAAAAGGTTTCTCCCCTGTGTGAGTTCTTAGATGCTGTTGAAGACTGCCAGTCTTACTGAATTTCTTTCCACAATGCAAACATTCAAAAGGTTTCTCCCCTGTGTGAGTCCTTACATGCTCTTGAAGATGGAAAATCTGAGTATATTTCTTTCCACACTCTGAGCATTCAAAACGTTTCTCCCCTGTGTGAGTTCTTAGATGCTCTTGAAGATGGCAACTCTGACTGAATTTCTTTCCACACTGTAAACATTCAAAAGGTTTCTCACCTGTGTGAATTCTTAGATGCTGTTGAAGACTACCAGTCTGACTGAATTTCTTTCCACAATCTGAACATTCAAAAGGTTTCTCCCCTGTGTGGGTTCGTTGATGTCTTTCAAAATCACCACTCCATTTGAAGCTCTTTCCACACTCTGAGCATTCAAAAGGTGTCTCCCCTGTGTGGGTTCTTTGATGTTGTAGAAGATGGCATCTCCTATTGAATTTCTTTCCACATTCAGAGCATTCAAAAGGTTTCTCCCCTGTGTGGGTTCTTAGATGCTGTTGCAGCTGGTCCATTCGACTGTATTTCTTTCCACACTCTGAGCATTCAAAAGGTGTCTCCCCCGTGTGTGTTCTTTGATGCCGCTGAAGATTGCAACTAGTATTGAATTTTTTTCCACACACAGAGCATTCAAAAGGTTTCTCCCCTGTGTGAGTTCTCAGATGCTGTTGGAGACTGCCCGTCTGACTGAATTTCTTTCCACAATCTGAACATTCAAAAGGTTTCTCCCCTGTGTGGGTTCTTAGATGCTGTTGAAGATGGAAATACCCAATGAATTTATTTCCACACTCTGAGCATTCAAAAGGTGTCTCCCCCGTGTGTGTTCTTTGATGCCGCTGAAGATTGCAACTCCTATTGAATTTCTTTCCACACTCGGAGCATTCAAAAGGATTCTCCCCTGTGTGAGTTCTTAGATGCTGCTGAAGACCACCTGTCTGACTGAATTTCTTTCCATAATTCAAGGATTCAAAAGGTTTCTCCCCTGTGTGGGTTCTTAGATGCTGTTGAAGATGGAAATACCCAATGAATTTATTTCCACACTCTGAGCATTCAAAAGCTTTCTGTCCGGTGTGGGTTCTTTGGTGCACAAGCATCTGAGATTTGTATCTGAAGTAATTTCCACATTGAAAGCATTTATATGCTGTCATTCTATTATGCTTTGGAAAATGTGCATTACCCTTTTTTCTATTAGAGAAACTCTTTCCACTCCCTGAGCAGATCAATGGCTTCCCTGCTGAATTAATTCTTTGGTGGTGATCAACATTTGTTTCATGTGAGAAGCTCTTCCTAAAGGGTGAGCAGTTGAACACTTTCCCTGCTGTGTGGAGTCTTAGATGTCTCAAAAGCTCTGATCTGCAACTGAAGCTCTTGCCACACTCCAAATGTTTATGGGTGCTCTCTCCACTGTGCATTTGCAAATGGATGTTATATTGGGTTTGAAACTGGAAGTCCATTCCACACTCCAAGCATTTGTAGCTTTCTTTTGTCATGCGAATTACTTCACCGAAATCCCCTCCTTGGCAAGGATAGGGTTCATCCTTCTTCTCCACCACGTGGCTTCCTTTCTGCCTCTCATCTCTGCTTCCTTTCAACTCTTGACCCTTGGCTTTATCTGATGATGGCTGATGCAGTTCCTCATCTTCCTTATTTCCCTCATCAACTGAGTGAATCCTCTGATGCAAAGTAAGAGTTGTTTGGTGACGGAAGCTCTTTCCACACTCCAAGCAGTTATATGGTTTCTCTCCTGACTGAACTTGCTCCTGGGGAACAACTCTCATTTTCTGAATAAAGGTCTTTCCAGAAGCCAGACTCTCATTTCCTTTTTCCCTGGAGAGGGTTCTCTGGTTAGAATGGATGCCTTCATTCCTTCTGCTTTTGGCAGACCTTTCTTCTTGGACTGGGATTTCATGGAAGCCCCCTCCTCGGCATGGAATGGGCTTATCCCTCTTCTCGTCTGTGTCGTCTCCCTCCTTCTTGATTCCATCTGGATCCCTAAAGTTGCCTTCAGAGTCTTTTTCCTTTGCATTTTCCAGTGACGACCACTGTAGTTCCCCAGCCATCGCAGGTATGCTTCCAGCTGAAATGAAGAGAGAGATTCAGTTGGCAGCCATGCAAAAAACCGTCAGATCTGTCACTCCTGTATCTTTTAGAGTATTTTGAATCCTCCTCCCTCAGAGCCTCCTTGAACTCCACAATCAGGAGCTGGCCGCTTATGCCAGGCCTCGTCCTGCAACGAAGCTGGTTTTATCTTCTGCCTTTTCCCTCCCTTCCCCCACAAATCCCCATACATGCTCTAAGGAAAGAGGGACTACAGATTTACTCCCCCCTCACGTCATATTTGATTTGGGGTGTAAATCGACACACATGAATTCATATGGCTCTTCTTTATACTGAATCAGGCCACTGGTTCACCAAGGTCAGTGTTGTCTACTCAGGGTGGCAGTGGCTCCCTGGGGCCTCAGGCAGAGGTCTTTCACATCACCTACTGCCTAGTCCTTTTAATGGGCGATGCAAGGGGTTGAAGCTTCTCTACGCAAAGCAGAGGCTCTTCAGCTGAGCCACAGCCCTTCCTCCCTTTTGATTCTCTGTGGGTGAGTGATGGTCAAGTACTAAAATATGTCATACAATCCAGAGAGTTTTGTGATAGGTGTGACACGTGGTCTTCAGCTTCTGAAACACAAGAGGAAAGTCTTGTCAAATAAACCAAACAGTCCAAAGGGGACCACCCTGGTTTCTGGAGAGAGAGGGGGCAAAAAACTGGGAAGGCCCAAAGGCATCTGAGTGACTCCTACAGGAAAGATTCACTGGGAGTCCCGCTTCGTCCAGCTGGGCTGTTCTAATCACCAGCCCCTCTCCCGAGAATATCAAGTCCTCTGGGGAATCAAAGGACAGGCAAGCAGCCCTTGAAACAAGAGAAGGAGCCACTGCTGAACTACACCCCAGAAGCAGCTTCTGAGTCTCACCAGTCCCATGCCCCAGCAGGCCTCTCTCCCTCCTTACCCAGCAGGCTGGCCTCTCCGCCCTCCTCTTCTTTGATGTGCATCGAGGGACGCCTTTGCTGGCTCTCAGGCGGAGCCCTGCCTGCCTCAGAGACTCTTCCAGCCTTCTCCTCCGAGGGCCCCTACAAGAGCAGAGAAGGAATGGATCCTTTGAAGGCAGGAGCAACAAAGAGGAGGGGGAGGCAGAGGGGAGAGAGTTCTTTCTCCCACCCTGACTACGGCAGATATATCAGTATGTAATACAGAGAAACCAGGACTGAGCTTCCGAACTAATAATAAAAATGCTGAGCACCACATTACAAAACGCTTCTTGGGTTGTGAATTCCATGAAGAAGGCACCACTACCAAAAAGGCCCAAGACACAATGGCAGCCCCTGAATTCTAAGGGAGGAGGGAGATGGGAGGAGGTCTTCAGGACTCTCAGGGCCGCATCTCTCACCTGCAGAGATGACGGGGGGACGGGACAGGAAACTATTGCTCCCAGAACCCCAAGACCTGCTCTTTCAGGAGGAGGATGACCCATCCACTATTTCTCAGGCTGAGAGAGAATTCCTCCCCACCCAAAAACTCTGGATTCAGCCTCCAGGGAAACCATGCAACAGACCCTTATATCACGTCCTGGCATCCCCTTCTCCCCTCCCCCCAAGATGGAGAAAGATGTCAGCCCCTTTTCCAAGCCCAGGCCCTCCCACACTCATGATCTGCAAGTGGAAAGGCCTCACCTGCTTCTCCTGCCTCAAGAGGAGCTCCTCGGCCAGGGCCACCGCCTGGGAGCAGCTCTCGGGGCCGCTCTCCCTCATCCGGCTCTGGATCTCCGGGGGCAGGACGCTCAGCAGTTGCTCAAGGATCAAGAGCTCCAGGATCTGCTCCTTGCTGTGATTCTCCGCTCTCAGCCACCCATTGCACATTTCCTGCAATCGTCTGTAAGCCCCCCGTGGCCCCTCAGCCTCCTGGAAGCAGAAACCCCTGAACTGCTGACGTTGCTTCTCCCGGCTCAGGGCGTCCCCTCGCAAGATGGCTGCCTTCACCTTCCCATAATCCTTCCTGCCTTGGACATCTAGCCTGTTAAAGGCCTGCTTCACATCTCCACTGAGGGCTGGCAGCAGTTGGGTCGCCCACTCTTCTTGGGGCCACTGACAGGCCTCGGCCACTTGCTCAAAGGAGGCCAGGAAGACCTTGGCATCCGCCCAGGGTGAAGGTTTCTCTGGCAAGGGGAGACAGTGAGAGGACTCCAGCGCCCTGAGGAATTCCTGCCACTGGACTTCCCACTGCTCGAGGGAAAGGGATCCCTTCCCTCCAGGCGGATTCATCAAATGTCTCGTTCTCCTTTGCAGGATTTCCCTCATACTCCCAGCCTGGAGGACATGAGGGGCTACTTCTCTCCCCTCTGATACTTCCCCTAATTTGGGAATGGTGGGAGTCTCTTTCTGCATTCCTTGCCCTGGATGATCACTCAGTACTGGTGCTGCAGGAACAGAATATGTTATCCTCTTCCACACGGAGCTTCTCCCTGCTGAAAAGGTGGGTACAGGACAGAGAGAGAAGAGAGACACTTGGTCACTCAGCTTCTGGTATAACGGTCCCCAGGTGATTTTTCTGCCCAGATCAATTAGGCACAATAAAGGCATCAGTATGATTTTATATGGTTACTTCTTTATTATGTGAGTAAAGTAAGATGCTAGTTATGAGGTTTTCAGATTTCTCTCCAATCCCAGAAAAGCCCTTCTCAAAATTCCTTCTTATGGTTTATAAAATGTCAGGAAGGAAGGCTGTTCCATCAGAGAGGAAATGTCAGAGATAGTTCCTGTGTTTGCATGGCGGCACTGTGAAAGAAGCTAGCACAGAGCAAAGCTAGCACAGAGGAGTCATGGCTTGGTGGTAGAGCACCTGCTTTGCGTGCAGAAGGTCCCCGGTTCAATTCCCAGCATCTCCAGTTAGACGGACTAGGTAGTAGGTGATGTGAAGGACTCTGCCTGAGACCCTGGAGACCTTAGACAAGACCAGCCTTGATGAACACTACAGAAGGGACCTTCGTATCTATAGTGTAATTGGACTGGCTGCCCTGCAGAGTAAGAATCATAGAGTTGGAAGCAATGTTCCCTCTAAGCTGTGGAGTCCCATGAGCCAAAATTCGACTTTGTGAGCTCCTGGCATTAAAGTTGTGAGCGAGTGATTTAGCTACTGCATAAATTAATTTGCTCTGGAGCCATCCTTCCTGAGCGGAGACAAAAATGTGTGAGCCGGAGGCTACAAAACTGTGAGCTAGCTCACACTAACTCAGCTTAGAGGGAACATTGGTTGGAAGGGACTTCCTGCGTCATTTAGTCCAACCCTCTGCAGAATTAAGAATGGAATTCACAAATACCCCCCCACACACACCCAGTGACCCCTGCTCCATGCCCAAAAGATATAGAATAATTAAATGGAAGTACAGCAAAGAGGGTTGTGCATATAACAACACAGTCAAAAACTGTAACAGTGTACCCAAAACTGCTTGACACTTGATTCAAAACATTCTTATATTAACAGTGTAGTATTCCAAATAACCATTCCGATCCATTCCAAAGATACCAATGTAAACAGTCCAATACAGTTCAACAAATTCCTAACTATATTGGACTATTTACATTGGTATCTTTGGAATGGATCGGAATGGTTATTTGGAATACTACACTGTTAATATAAGAATGTTTTGAATCAAGTGTCAAGTATTTTTGGGTACAGTGTTACAGTTTTTGGCCATGCCCAAAAGATGGCAAATACACCGCCAGGATCCATGGCCAAACTTGCCTGGAGAACAATTGCTTCCTGACCCCAAAGTGGCGATCAGCATTTCCCTGGGCTTGTAAGAAAGGGCTACGAGAACTAAGCACTGAAGCAACCCTTCCTGCCCTCCCTCTCATGATCTGCCTAAGTTCACAGAATCAGCATTGCTGCCAGATGGCCATCTAACCTCTGCTTAAAAACCTCCAAAGAAGGCAAACCCACCACCTCCCGAGGAAGCCTATCCCACTGAGGAACTGCTCTGTCTAATTAGGTCTTCCTTATATTAAGCTGAAAACTCTGTTGATTTAATTCCAACCCGTTGGTTCTGGTCCGACCTTCTGGAGCAACAGAAAACAACTCCGCGCCATCCTCTATATTACAACCCTTCAAGTGCTTGAAGATGGTTATCATATCACCTCTCAGTTGTCTCCTCTCCAGGCTAAACATACCCAGCTCCTTCAGCCTTTCCTCAAAGGACTTGGTCCCTAGACTCCTCACCATGTTCGTTGCCCTCCTCTGGACATGTTCCAGCTTGTCTATATCCATCTTAAATTGTGGTGCCCAAAACTGAACACAATACTCTAGGTGAGGTCTAACCAGAGCAGAGTAAAGGGATACCATCACTTTGCATGATCTGGACACTATACTTCTGTTGATACAGCCCAAGACAGCATTTGCCTTTATTAGCTACTGCATCATTCTGCTGACTCATGTTCAGTGTATGGTCCACTAAGACCCCTAGATCCTTTTTGCACATATTGGTTGTGGGCTTCCTAGTGATAAGCACGCCCTTGAACTGAATGTGGTGCTGGTTATAACCTTTAAAGCCCTAACCGGTCTAGGACTGATAGACCTGAAGACCCGCCTTTGCCAATATAGGCGCCCATGCTGCCTGTGCTCATCACTGCACAATTTTTTTTTTAATAAAGGTTTTATTGACTCCCCTAAAAAGGGGAGGTATTTCGCTTAAAAGAAGAAATGGGAAGGGTAGACAGTGGGGGAAAGAGAAAGCTGAGTGATATATAAACTGGTAAATTAAACTGTTAGTAATGTCCAATTAATCTTCTTGGGCTTCTTCTGTGTGTTGTCAAACTTCTTTTTTAAAATCCGGTCACATGAAGTTCTCTGTTAGTATGTTAGTAATGTTCCTTTGAGTTTCTGTTAATAAAAAAGCCTCTTCTGGGCACATTCAGAACCGCTTCTTTGCGTGCTGGGTACTTTTAGTGTCGCTGACATGGAGGAGCTTCCTCTGTTGTCTTCTCCTTCCGGCTTGTTTGATCCTCCTTCGGGTTGCTGTTAACAATCTCAGTTCATGCACTGTAAATCCTCTTCCTTGCTTGCCATTACTGGAGGTCCCCAGCTTTGAGAATGGTATTAATTTCTTCGCTTTTATATCCGCTCCCAAAACTCTCTACTGGGTCCTCCTCGCAACTGTTGACTCATATAAGCGCTTGCCAGGCACTCCTCGCTGTCACAGTTCAAACTTCTCCGTTTTACAAAACTCCCGTCGGATTCACAGCCATAACAGTCCAAACATTAAACAGCCGGCTCTCACACACAAGTAAACGCCCAGACGGAAGTCCCTCCCTTCTTCTCCGCTCGCTTTTGCCCAGCTCCGACATCTTTTCTTTTTTGTTTACTTTTAGAAAGTTCTTAAAATGTGCTCCAGAGAGACAAAACTTTTTCTCCCTTTAATTCAAATACATCAAGGGAAAACACCGCTGTTCGCTCAGTCCATTCCCCCCCTCCTTTTCTTTTTCGCTTGGTCAAATGGAGGATTAACCTCCTCGCCTTTTTCGCTGGGGGGGGGAAACGTTTTTAGTTCTTTTTCTCTGCATTTTGACAACTCACAGTTAAGCCGATCTTTTCTTTT